CCTCTCCTTTCCCCCATAAAAATCATCCCTCGCCGGTCGCGGTAGCTGCGAAGAGGCAACGGCTTTGGAAGGGGTTTATCTCCTCTGTGTGGTGCAGGAGGGAGCGGGAACGCGAGCTGGGAACGCGAGCTGGGAACGCGAGCTGGGAACGCTTCCGTTAACTCTTGTTGTTGCTGCTGCTGTTGTTGTTTAAGGCTCTGGCACCAGCTGACGCTGCAGGTCCTGGACTTCGTGCAGGACCCCTGCTTCGCCCAGGGGGATGGACTCATCAAGGTGAGGCGCTTGCGGATACCCGGGCCCTTCGTTTCCCCTCCCTGGAGCAGCCCTGAGTGTTTTTGCAGTGAGGGGAAATAAGCAGCTTCTGGCTTGTTTTGTTTTGGGGCTGTTAAACCAGGGGCACAGCCTTTCTGCTTGCCCATTACTGATAGCTGCGCGTTTTCACTCTCCTTTGTGGCGTAGATTCAAATTCACTTGCCCTAATCACTTCCAYGATAACAAGCCTTGAGTTTCTGGATAGTTGGGTGTTATTGGGATGCCTGTAAAGGGCAATTGGAAAAGTTGAGGCTTGAGCTAATTGCACAGCGAGGRCTGAAGATGTGCGCTGGGGCAGTCCTGAACCAAAAGGCTTTATATTGTAGCACCTGGTAGCGTGTGGGTTTCTGCAGTTGTTTTGTACAGCTGGGAGGATTTTTCACAGCCTGAAAAAGGAATATACCTGAAAAAGAGCTGTTTTCTTAAACAAAAAAAGCATCTGGGAAAGCCTGTAAGTGCACCAAATCCAGAGGACAAGTTGGATGTCAACTGCTTTGTTCAGACAATGAGTTGGACTAACACAAAATATAAATGTCGTCACTAAAAGTACTTTCTTGYCCTGAATATCTGAATCCTTTTGCTTGCAGCTTTACGAGAACTTCATCAGTGAGTTTGAACACAGGTGAGTCTGCCCCAAAATTCGGGGGTAACCTGCTGTTACCTGCAGCTGGGACTGTTGTGACAGTGAGACTTGTTTTCGTTCTAGGGTGAACCCCTTGTCCCTGGTAGAGATCATTCTTCATGTAGTTAGGCAAATGACAGGTAAGTCACATTGTCTGCGGTTGATGGTCRTTTTTTTAGGAACTTTTTTTAGGAAACTTTGGTTGTTAATAGTAATAGCTAAGTCCTTGGTCTTAAACTAAAGCTAGTGGCGCTCGGGGGTGTTGAAAGAGAAAGTGCCAATATCAGTGCTTCGTGGAATTTATTTCCAGGTTAAAATTGAATTTTGCTGGAATTCCTAATATGCTTTCTCTTTTGCTCTGCTTTAGATCCCAGTGTGGCCCTTTCTTTTCTGGAAAAGACTCGGGAAAAGGTATTTGTGAAACTGCTCTTTCCTCTCTTAGTCCCTGTACAGAGTTTGTTTTGTTGTGAGTGTGTTGGATGCAGGTGAAGAGGCAAGTGTATACGTGAATTGGAACCTTTGCTGGGAAGTACCTTCTGTTTTCCTCAGTGACCAATCCCAGAACTCAATGCAGGGATGTGTTAATAAGCAAAATATGACTAAATGAACACAATTTGCGTTTTGAAAGCCTAACTAGAATGCTGAGAATACCAAAGCATGTGTATTTGTTTTGCTGCAGGTAAAAAGCAGCGATGAAGCTGTCATTTTGTGCAAGACAGCCATCGGGGCTCTCAAGCTGAACATTGGAGACCTGCAGGTCACAAAGGTGAGGTGGTCACTTTAACGTTCAGGCAGTTTGGAGCACTGTGACTTATTTCAGCAGTTACTGTAAGCGTGGCCATTCCTGTGTCTTCGCTTCCATTCTGAGGTGGAAGAAAAATGAACATGCAACCCAAGCCCCAGAACTTGCTATTCCTTTTTCTTCTAGTTTAGAGGGCACCTTGGATTCAGCAGCACACTTGCCGCTTGCTGATGTACTGCTAAAGGTGACTGAATTCCAGTACCCAGTTTCTGGTGCTGAACAGGTTCCTTCTCTCTCTCCCAGAGTTGTTTTTTTTAGAGCCATCTCAGAAAGCTGAGGGCTTTTTTTCTTCTTCTGTGCAGTTCTGCTTTACATCTTTCAGTACAAGCATGAAGTGTGAAGGGTCACAGTGTAGTTGGGCTTTCTTCCATCAGTCAAACACCTTTGTAAGGAGGGAATGTCACTAGCTTCACTCTGAGTCCAGCCTTAGTGGCTTTGGCTGCAGTTTCATCTGGGGCATGCGTGTGTGTTTTGTGCTTTTAGCCATAACCTTGTTTTTCACTCTGATTTAGGAGACCATTGAGGAAGTTGAGGAGATGCTGAACAATCTCCCTGGGGTGACTTCAGTTCACAGCCGTTTCTACGACCTCTCCAGCAAGTACTACCAGACCATTGGGAACCATGCCTCTTACTACAAGGATGCTCTGCGCTTCCTAGGCTGCATTGACGTTAAAGATCTACCAGGTAGCTCTTCCTTTGTGCCTGAGCATAGTCCCAGTTTTCATTTTTCATTTCATCACTTTAGTCTAAATAAATGTACCCACAGAGATGGTTTTTTTCCCTCCACATTATTTTTGAGTCTGTCATCACTGGACCAAGTTCTAGCTACAAAAGCCCACAAAGGGAATGAATGAGCAGGATTCTGCTCCTAATTCTACTCTGTGATGGGAGGCAATGTCCTTACCAGATGGGACAGGTTATTCTGCCTCCTGGCCTATTCTATCTAGCTTCAAAAAGTTGCCTTTTTTTTTTGTTTTTGTTTTTTTGTTTTTTTGTTTTTTTTTGTTATATGCTGTTTCATCCAGTCTTTTCTTTCACTCCAGTATCAGAGCAGCAGGAGAGAGCCTTCACCCTGGGGCTGGCCGGGCTTCTGGGAGAAGGTGTTTATAACTTTGGGGAGCTGGTAAGTTACCTCTGGTTTGCTGCAGCTGCTAATAAACAAAAAAATCCATTTGTGATTGATTTTTACCTCTTGTCCTGCTTGATATTCTTGCAGCTCATGCACCCTGTTCTGGAGTCCCTGAGAAACACCGATCGGCAGTGGCTGATTGATACTCTTTATGCCTTCAATAGTGGAAATGTAGAGACATTTCAGGCTCTAAAGTCAGCATGGGGCCAGCAGGTGAGTGAATTAACTTGCTCGTGTTGTTCAAGTAAGACTTAGGCTTAATATTTACAGATGCCATTTAGGAGTTTCTTTGGACTCTCCTAGCTTAAATTTCCTGAGCTAGGTGCATTAGTAGAGCCTTAACTGTTGCATAGTGATGCTTTTTTTTCTCTTGGGTCCTTAGTTTTCTTTTGTTTTTGTTGTTTGAAAGAAATGAAAAAGGGAAATTCCTTGTAACAAAGGGAAAAGCCCCAAAAGACATTACACAGCCCTAGGCAGGAAGATTGTCTCCAATTTAATATTCACAGTGTTGTAATCGCTGTRATGTTAAATTGCTTTTGCTGCCAAATGGTGCTTTTCCCTTATTTTTCCAGGCAATTCAAGGAAGCTGTGAGGTTGGATATTAGCTGCAGTGGCTGTACCAGATGTTGCTGCCACAACAGTGGTTTATAGATTGACTTTTGTGTTCACTTGTGCYAGGCTGTAGCCTTCAGTATAAGCTTGCCTATCTTGTAGAGAAGTACACAGTCTTTACTGGTAATTTTATGGAATCATTGCCCAGTAGTGGGTTGGAAAGGATGGAATCTGTCCTCAGCAATCAGGACAGTGGGCACCACTGCATTTARCAGTGGCTCGTTCCTGTATACAGAATGTTACTCTTTTATGGGTTGGGGTGGAACAAGTAATAATGAACTTGTTTTCTTCTAATTTATCATCTCGCAGCCAGATCTGGCAGCAAACGAAGCCCTTTTGCTGCAGAAGATCCAACTGTTATGCCTAATGGAGGTGAGCAGCTAAGCTGAGATCTGCAGGGTGCTAAATGTGGGAAATGAAAAGACGCGGCTTTCGGCAGCCTTTCAAGGAGTCCAGTTTATTGAAGTTGAGGCAAATTCCTCTGAATGCACTCGTTCATTTGCTGTGTTTATAGGAACTCATGTATATCGAGTTAGTACGAGTGCAAATTTTGTCTCTAGGTGGTGCTAAATGGCAGGTGCTGCTATGGATGGGGGCATGGAAATACAAAAGAGCTCTGTKCTCCCTGCTTGCACTTTCCAGCATATGCAGGCAGGGTAGGGGGAAGGAGGGAGCAAGTGGTGTTTCTGAAGACAGCATCTGAAGAAATGTCTCTTCAATATGATAAATTATAATAAGGATTCATAAAATGCGCTATGTTGATAACTTAGTCTCTTAAAGACAAAGCCTTCTCACTGTGAGGTAACTCTACATGTTTGAAACAGTTTTTGTTGTCACTTGAAACCTCTGTGACTCTGGATATGCTTTTGTGTTTGTTTTTTTCTTAATTCAGCGCTCAGACAATTCGTCTGAAGCATAGTCCATGCTTTTATACACACAAGTGCATATATATTCATCCCAGTTCTAACATTTAACTACTCTTACCTCTAATTACTTCTACTATTTTATGTCAGGGATTGGATGGATAGGCATCAAGACATGTTGGCACCAATTCACCTGCTTTATTTGTAGATAAACTTGTTATTTAGGGGCCCTGCTGTTTGGGGGGGCTATTTTCTGTTAATATGGGCATTTCTGTTGAAACATTGTGGTATTAAAAAGAGGAATGTAGTTGCTCCTGCAGTGTGAGGGGGCGGCAGCAGGGAARGTGTGTGCACTGCAGGAAAAAAAATAGGAACTATGGAAGTTTATCTTGGTTTTGCTTTGTGTTTGCATGGATTTAGATGACTTTCACCCGACCGGCCAACCACAGACAGCTCACTTTTGAGGAGATTGCAAAGAGTGCCAAAGTCACAGTGAATGAGGTGAGTTTAGTCATGGTTTGTGATTAAATCTCAACATTCRAAAGCTCTAAAAGTTTCCAAATAAACTCTGCAGTTAACCTTTATTGTACCTAGTGCAAGTCTTGTAGTCCATCTAGGTCTGTCTTTATGGCAGCTCTTCCCTCCACCCCGACTAGCTGTCACCTACAAACTTGATGAGGGTGCAGTCAGTCCTGTTATCCAGGTTGTTTAGAAAGTTACCTGCTAACTAGGTCGTACTGAAATGCCGAATAACGCTGGAAAAGCTGCATTTGTGATGAGCTGAATGTTCAGCTTTGAGCTGCTAACCGCCATCCTGACTGAGCTCAGCAGATCAGCAAGTTTTCTACCTGCCTTGTTCCAGCTCTCCAGTCTGTATCTTACCCGCTTGTCAGCAGGCTGTTGTGGGAGGTCTTGTTGGTTGTCTTGTTACAACTCCTACCTTGTCCACTGAGGAAGYTGGTTGATGTTTAGAAGGCAATTGGATTGTTCAAGCCCTATTTACCCCTGGTAAATCCTTGTTTTTCCAGTCGCCTTGTCCTTCCTGGGATTTCAGATATCCTAAAGAAATCTACAGTCCTGTATATTTTGATGTCAAGTCTCAAGGCGGTGTAAGAACCTGTAAGAGAGAGACTGCAGTTCTCAGTTTTTGTGTAGTAACCACTGTTCTGCATGCTGAGTCCACTTAARAGGTCTCATCTCGAGGGGAAGTGGGTGATTCCCTGTTCTTCTCTTGCTTTCAGGTGGAACTGCTGGTGATGAAGGCCCTCTCRGTGGGATTGGTAAAAGGCAGCATTGACGAGGTGGATAAGAGGGTGCACATGACATGGGTGCAGCCGCGGGTGTTGGATTTACAGCAGGTAACGATCAACTTCAGTGCRAAGCCAGTATTAACTTGAGGGTGTTGTTTTGTTGTTGCTTTTGTACGTGAGATGACCTGGAAAATGCAGTTAAGAGTTGTAAGGGTCATGTCTGTGAATTCATCTCCTTATACTTCCAATTCCCAGAGTTTCTTCAGGAAGAGCTGCCAGTTCTCTGACTGTTTCCCTTGGCTCTTACCTCAGCTGTGTAGTGTGCTTTATACCTGTAACCATGCTAAGCAGTAAGAAATTACAAATGTTAGCAGGTAGGATAGCATTTTGGAGATGCTTCGCCAAGAGCCCCACAACTCAGCAGGGAATCTAAAAACTTGCTCTGAAGGCTGTTGCTTTTCAGARGGATGTGGGCGTCTGTCAGTTGCCTCAGAATTTAAGAAATGAAACAGTCTTTAGTTTCTGATCAGTAAGTGACAGGGAAGAAAAGTTCAGAGTGATGGAAATGAAAGGTTCATGAGCTTCTCAAGCTCATCTTTGTGATGCACGTGTTTTAGGAGACTGAATAGGGTGCCCTTAGCTTTTAAAAACTGACGGTCCATTTGCTGCTAGCTACAAATAAATCCTTTTGTGCACTTCAGTCTAATTCAAACCATTATAGTCCAGATGGTAAAAGATGCCAGGCATCTTCTTGAGATGCATGGGGTTTTGAGAAGCTGTTCTGGATCTCAAGCCTCTGTACTTAAAGGGGAATTTATGTTTCTTTAGTAGTTGTGCCGCTGAAATCATTGTGTGTTTTGTCTTCCAGATCAAAGGGATGAAAGACCGCCTGGAGTTCTGGTGCACAGATGTGAGGAGCATGGAGATGTTGGTAGAGCACCAAGCCCATGACATCCTAACATAGAGGACCTTGCACAGCCCTGAGAGAGTAATTTTTTACTGCTRTGGATGCTAGCAGCCCTTCAGACCACTGACTCTGTTCTGAATTACATTGAAGGGGGGTGGGTGGGCAGAGGAGAGAGCAGCTTTTTTGACGCTTATCCGGAGGAGTAAGTAAGTGGCCTTTTGCTGTGTAACCCTTTGGTGCTTGGAGAGAAGATTTCCCTACGCGCTAACACTAGTGGCACTGACCACGGGAGCTCCTGTCCTGTCCTCCCTCCTCCAAGGAGGGCAAAGGCTGATTTATGAGTCGTGCTGACGAGCTCTTTTGGGAGGCTGTAACGCAGGTTACGCCTTACAGCAGCGGAGGCCACTTTTACAGGAGGATATGGTGCTGGTTACGTGCCACCGAGGTGGTGGTTCTCCAGGTAATGGGGTGGCAGAAGCTCCTCTATAAATATATATATATACTTATATGTTCTAGAGAGGTGCCTGAACACCGTACGTGGTATTACTTAGTAGCATTGGCCTTAGGAGGGCACGAGCTTCCCCTGGTAACCCCCAGTTCCCTCCCTGCGCCAAAGGCAGCGTTACCGAAGCCCTATTCCTCCTGTTGCCCCTTTCTCCACAACCCTCCTCATCGGCAGTAGAGCGAGTGCTTGCTCCATCAAAGGGGTGGGGGTTTTTGTTTCGTTTTCTCCGGGATTACAGTTTAGTGGATTTGTTTTTATATACCTTTTGGGGGATAGTCGTCTTTTATGAACACTTTATGCTAAAGTGAGGTGCAGCAATATTGCTCTATTGCTGGAATAAACTTCTCTGCCTTCCCTTTTCTGTAGTTCTGGTGGTGCTTTCATCCTAATGTGCAGCTGTGGGTCTGATTGATATGTTTTTTTTAAAGACTTCCTGTTATTTTTCATGTTACAACTTTCTACCCAAGAAGAGAGCAGGTTAAAACAGTCTATGAAATAGCAGGTTAACATGTCACTGGCTTGTCCCAATACCTCAGTATGTAATTTATTGCCAAGTCTGTGTGTTTTTTGGAAGGAAACTGTACTGTTGATGCCCTTTTTGAAGAACTGGTAAACAAAAAATGCCCAATTCAATACCGAGATAACAAGGTTTTGTTCTGCTTTTGGCTGTTAACAACGGCCACTTCAAAAGCTCTCCTGTAATGAAGAGGTTTTGCTGTACTGCTGCATGATGATAATTGTGACGAGAGTAACAGCAAACCACACTAAGTAACTTTAAACTCAGCAGGGTAATGCTCACAACCTAGGTTGTGAGTATCTTTGGGTGTAATTGGACTTTTTTTAAAGTATATCAAAGTACACTTCTCGGTTTACAGTGCAGGTTAGTTTACTGCTAGTGAAGGTGCCTTAAGGAAGATTTAAGCTTCTAAAAGAAAAAAAAAAAGTGGGTTTTATTTGTGGGTTTTTTTTGACAGGAAGGGGGATTGTACCAACACAGTCCTTTTTTAGTAGTGTCGTGTCACTACACCTTAGGAGTAAAGGGAGGGCTAACAGTGAAATGAAACTAATACCAGTTTAGGACTGTTCCTGCTGTGAAACTGAGGCATTACTATTGAAATTGCTGTCAAAATAYTCCTGGGGCCAGGCCCTATCACTCTCAGGGTAGGGAGTGCTAGTTGGCCTCTGAATTTTTGAGCAGCTCACTGAAGTGAGCGTGAAGATCTTGAGTCTAAGTGAACTCCATGACTTCAGAGGCTGTTCCAAGGCCTCTGCTGTGTGTATGGGAGCAGGCGCTGGCTTTTGGCTTCCCTAAAACAGCTCCTTGGGCTTACAATAGAAGTTACCTGGACAGGAGACCCCTTTAACCACCACTTAGTTTCTGAGYATTTTCTTTACAGGGATTTAGCTCTGTTCCCTTGTGTGCTAGCGGTGTGGATGTTTCCTCATCCRCTACCTAAGTTTCGCAAGGAGTGCACTAGGTAAGTAAAAACTCAAGGAAACTGGGCCTCCCACATGGATTTTGCTGCAGCCTTTTTTGCCCTTTGCAGCAGTGTCCTGCCTGATTGACCRGCACTGTCGATTCATTCTTTTGTGAGCAAGCCCAATCTAAGCAAAACCAACAGGCCGTTACATTTAACAGTATTTTAATGAACAAACTTAAGGAATTCTTCAACAGAGAAACATTCGTTTTGTCATCTTCACTCAAACTTGTGCTCGCAACTGGCTCCTGAAGTCTTCCTGCCATCCCTTACTCCGGTCTGCTCTTGTAGTGCTCCAGGTTTGCCAGGACCCAGGCAGAYGGGATGAGGAAGCTGGCAAACATCACGGAGAGTGCGATGGCTTGCTCCTGCCAGCAAGAAAAGAAGGAAAAGCAGCGGTGGGACAGCCGTACTGCAAGGTCCTGCCTGACTTTGGGATGACTTTGAGGGGCCGAGAGGCGCCAGGAGCAGTGCCCGCCTTGCTGGCACGTTGCGGCAGCAGCGCGTAACCCCTCGTGCCCTCGCCACGTGAAGGTCATCCAAGGGCTGCAATCCCCACTGGATTTCTGCCAAAAAACTCCCTTTCTTACTCATTTGWGTGTGTGTACATAAATATACATGTATATTTTTATATATATGGTTTTTTCCTCCCCGTTTCTTGCAGGTGCAGGAGGAAAGCAGCCCCGGAGGCTTCTCCGCACCCAGGGCAGGTGCCATGTCTGCCATTATCAGCCAGGGTGGGGTAAGGAAGGGGACAGAGGCCATGGAGCAGCCTGGGCTTTGCCGTGGTGGTTACACCCCTCACACAGCTCCTCTCTCACGGTGTCCCTTGGGGACTGTGTCCCCTAGGGGGGCAGCGCTGGTCCCTGTGGGGACGGGGTGCCCTGAGGGGCTCCAAGGCCGTCGCCTTACACCACGGTGCCATGACCCACCCCCCAAGGCTTAAAATGGAGGGCTGTGGAAAAGGAGAAAACGGAGAAAACGCCCTTTTTATGAGGGACAGAAGTAAATATATAATATATATGTAATAATAACCGGTTATGGGTGTCAGGGTCCCTCAGCCCCCGGGGAGCRGGCGCCCTCCCTCAGCCCCTGGGTCACTCACGGCGCCGGAGAGCGGCTCCTCGGGGGGCATGGAGGAGATGGGCGCGCGGGGCGGGCGCTGGCGGCGCAGGGCCGCGGCCAGCAGCCCCGGCACGCGCTGCAAGGGCCCCATGGCGGCGGCGGCGGCAATGGGGAACGCGGCGGGAAGGAGGGAACGCGTGCCAAGGGCTGCAGCTGCAAGGGCCCTGTCAGGGCTTCCCCGCCTCCGGCCCTGCCCTGCGCCGCCCCGGCAGCCTGGCCCATGGCGACCGTGTCCYGCCCGGAGACAGGGGCTGTGTGGGGGCACCGGCACCTGCTGCCATCGCCCCAGGGGGTCGTCCCCACTGTTTCCATCGGTTTTGGGTGCCCCGGATCCCCTGGTGCCTGGCGCTGCCCTCCCGGCCTTCTGTGTGTCACTGGGTCACGTTTCCTGGTTTCCCTTCCCTGTGTTTCGCTCCCCGCAGCGGCAGCTCTGAGGGAGCTCCGGGCCGCTCGGTGCCGCCACATTTGCCCTGCGCCCCGTTCGCAGGGCCCCTAAAACACCCGCCGTTTCCGATCCCCCGCTCGTGCATGGCCAAGTCCTCGCTGCAAAGCCGCTCGTGGTCATTAGGAGCAGGAGGCCTGATAGGTTTGGTTATTCCATAAAGCATCTGTTTCCATGGTAGTTTCCGTAATCAGTGGGGAAGCTGATGCAGAGCAGCTCCCACTGCCCAGACTCGTCCTTCTTCCTCCTCTCCCGAGTTTTCCGGGTACTCTTAATCCCATGTTGTCCACAACTTGGGCTGCTGGAAAGGGAACAGTGACGTCCTGCCCTGTTRTGGCATGAAAGCTGCTGCCTTGAGGAAATGTGGATTTCTTAAAACGCTAACGGCACCGACACGTGTTCTGGATCTCAGTCTTATCAACTTGAACAGTTGCCAATAGCAGGGTGGGTTTTTTTGTCGTTTTTATTTTTGTCTCCTTTTCTAGYGGTTTCAGCAGAGCAGAAGGTGACCTCATGATGCCCCTCCAACATGTTGAGGACGCATTGGAGCGGGCTGAGCAGGGAAGGATGGTGAAAACTAAAGAGTGAAAAAGCAGAGTTTGCCCCATATTGAGCTGTGCTTGGAGGAAAGAGGTGCCTTGTGGAGGGGAGGGGGGAAAGGGAGCAGGAAAGATAATTTTTTAGGGAGAAATTGAGGGGTTTTTTGCATTTTTTTTCCTGTTTGCATACCGAACAACCTTGGGACAGGAGAGAGCAGGAGCAAAGATGTTCTGCCAGCTCTGAAAAGGTCGGCAGAGAAACTGATAGCTTTGGCGTTTACCCTGGCCCAAGGGCACTATAGCTTTGGTGTTTATCCTGGCCCGAGGGCACGTCTGCCCCTCCGTCACTGCCGGTACCAGGTGCCAGCAGGATGAGAGCAGCAGAACGTCCCTTTTGCTGAATATCGCAGCAAGGGACCCGTGGGGGACAGGCACATGCTCTGACAGAGACGGTCCAGGCTCTGTGCTGCATGGGGRAATGAATTCAGAGAGATCAAAGCTGATTTGTGACAACAAACACACCTGTGGGAATTTGGAATTGGGGGTGACATGCACGGAGGAGCAATACGTAGCTACTTCCGTGCTTGGATAGCAGCCGGACGAAGCTTTCCGGCAGGGAAGGAGGGAAATGGAGTTCAGCCCAGTGGAGACGGGTGTCCCCTCATAGGGTGATGAGTGACCTAGGGCTCTTTGGGGCAGTCGAAARTCCCTGCTCGGAGGTAACTGCTCCCTGGATGGAGAGGACGGCTACACTCAAGGCTGTTCCTGAGGGTGTTGCAAGAAGAAGGGTGGAGGGAGCAGCTTGATGCCCATCACGAGAGAGYGACCCCCGGCCCTGGGCCAGGGTCTGAACTGATTCTGGAAATCTCGAACTGCTTTCAGATGACAAATAGCCAGAGGCAGGTGTTCTCCTCTTCATTCCTCCTTCCTTAGAGGAATAGCTGTGAAACAGCAGCAGCCCTTTTTTCCTCATTTTCCCTGGGGGGGCCTCAGTTCCGCCCATCCCACGCGTGCCAGGCAGCGAGATCAGTCAGCAGGATCGCTCAGTGTGCAAACAGCCACCTTTAGGATTATTTATTTATTTTTAACCTAGAGGGAAAAAAAAGCTGTTTCCTTCCTCCTGCCTCAGTTTGGTAACTTCCGTCCTGCCCTGCAATCCCTGCGCTCGGATTCCACACGCAGCCCTGAGGCTAAAGGCAAGAGGCGTTTCTTCCCTTGCTGTTTTTCCACCCGCTTTCCTTGCTGCGTGCTGGGATTTTTTCCCACTTGGCACTGCTGCCAGCCCGGCCGTGCTCTCACGGGGCCGAGCAGCTTTGTGGCTGCCCGGTGACAGAGCCTGCGTGGGCCCTGCTCGCGTCTGCAGTTCCAGGTGCTGCTCTGGGGACAGGCACCCACCAGCGCTCCGTTCTGCGAGGTGCAACAGACTGAGTGCAAGCCAGGAACTGAAATTCCTGGGAGCGAAGGGGAGTGGAGAGGCAAGGGGAAGCGGGGAGATGGGGCTGGAGGTGGCAGGAGCCTCCCCAACCTAAGGGGCTCTGAGAGGAGGAGGAGGAGGAGGTAAGGAGAAGAGAAGGCTCTGTCATGCTCCATGCTGGGAGAAATGGGTCATACTATCACACAGAGAGTATAGTGCAAGAGAAGATGGGGGAAGCGAGCAGGGCAGGGTCTGGGAAAGCTTGAAAATTCATGTTGCTCAGCTAGGAGGTGTCTGAAGTGGAGGAGGGAGAAAGGAAGCTGCAAAGGAGGCAACAAGCCTAGTTATAGGTTGCCAGAGAGGAAGRCTTGAAAGGGTAAAAAACACCACTGGAAGAGCCCGAGTGGGACGTGGTGATCAAAGAGAAAGCTAAAGGAAATGAGACCCTTGAGATGTAACCAGGCTAAAAGCACATGAGAAGGCAGTAGCGTCCATGAGTGGGGTGCTACAAAAAGGCTGATGTGGAGATRAGCAGTGGAGATAAGTAGTGGTCCTTGTTATCTGTTGATTTGGAGCATGCCCRTGCTAAGCCTTGCACTGACCCCATGAGGAGCTGGTGGTCCTGGCTTGCTGTGCTCAGCCCTTGTCCCCGACTTTGTTTTGCAGGTCAGATTGAGAGACRTGGCTGATGGCAAGGAGGACCCTGCTGTGTTCACCTCCACCTCTCTGCCTTCAGACCCCCGGCTTCTAGCTACCGTGACCAATGCCTACCTGGGCACCCGTGTGTACCGGGACGTCCTGCACGTCAACGGGGTGTATAACGGGGCTGTGGGAGACACGCACCGCGCTGACCTCCCCAGCCCTCTCAACGTGAGAATGGCCAAGCCTAGTGCAGGCCAGCTGACCGAGACCTTCAYCTTGAACACACGGACGGGTAAGCAGCAGGGGTAGGAAGCTGCCTGCGTGCAGCTTCCTTGCATTTTTGCATCCTATTCACCTCTTTCTCCCTGCAACTGTCAGCGATCCCTTTTAGAATTTAAAGTTTTCCTTGCTTACTCCTCTTCCGTGGGGTCTCTGGGGTTGTCYTAGTCCTCCCCAGCTTCTGTTCATACCTGTGCTGAGTTGGAGGCACCATCCAACTCAGCACATCCCAGGCATGGGATTTCTGTGACCTAGCTTCAGGTGCTGGCATCAGCGCACAGACTAGCTGTCTGGTCTTACAGTTAAAGGAGATGCAGTCAGTAAATTCAAATGTATAGAGAAAGTCATTCACCTTGTCTTGAAGGTGATACCAATATCGGATTGCCTGGTGGCTCTCGTCCCTACCAGGAACCTTCAGCCACGTGCTTCAGTCGGCAGATTATACAGCCACCCATCAGATCTATGCTCACCACTCCCTTGTCCACCTGATGGCCTTCAGCATCACCATCCAGCGAGCAGCTCACACCAGCCAACCCATCGTGCTGCAGCTCCATGTTCCTTTGGTGCTGGAGAGCCAGGACCTAGACCTGTACGAAGGACCGGACTTCCAGGGAGCACGGTGAGTGAGTCTGGGCCACGGCGGGGACATTGACCTGATTCTGTCCTTCGTAGCCTCTAGATTTCTGCTCTCCTCTCAGAAAATTAGCTGCAAAAGCAAGGGTAGAACTGGATTGGTAAGCACGGGGTCAACAGTGGGAACCACGTGGGAACAGGAGCCAGATATTCCGCTGCCGTGGGGCTGTTCCTCTCTATATGAGCAGATTGGGGTAACTGGTGTGCACCAAATATCATCAGCAGTCTCCTTCCCCTTTGCTTGCTGTCTCTTGCAGCTACATCTATGGGAAGACTCTGGTTCCCGAGGTGGAGGGAGGTCCGCAGCCCACGGTGCACATGCTGTGGACTCCGGTGCCGCAAGCCGTGACCCTGCGCGCCGAGGAGACGGAGAGAACGTGGCAGTTCCTGACGGCCGTGGCCGAGAGCGAGGAGGAAGCGAAGAGCTGCTACAGCGAGGGCTCGGTGCGCGCCGCCCGCGGCAGCCTCCACACGTCCCACGTGGAGGCCTGGGCCGCGCTCTGGAGGGGCTGCTGCGTGGAGCTCGACGGGCCCCTGCCCTTGCGACAGGCCCTTTACGGGGGTCTCTATTACCTGCTGAGCGCCATCCCGCCCCTCGGCCAGCCCGGCTTCCTCTTCCACGGCATCAGTCCCGGTGGCTTGTCCAACGGCACTCGGGGTGAGGACTACTGGGGACATGTCTTCTGGGACCAGGTAGGTTGAGGCTTCTCTTAGCTGGTAATGTGCAGCTTTTCTGCATCATCTGAGACCTCTTTTCAGTGGTGGCCAGCAATAGGACTAGAGGAAACAGCCACAGACTGAAGCACCAAAAGCTCCACAGGAGCTTAAGAAAACATTTCCTAACAATGAGAGTCTCAGAGCCCTGGAACAGGCTGCCCAGAGAGGTTGTGGAATCTCCTTCTCTGGAGATCTTTAAAACCTCCTTGGATGCAGCCCTGTGCCACGTGCTGTAGGTGACCCTGCATGTGCAGGGGGTTGGACKAGATGACCTCTGAGGTCCCTTCCAACCTTRAGCATTCTGTGAGACTGAGAAACCCAGCATGMGGCTGCTGGGAGGCCTTATTCTAAGCAGCAAATAGGGCCTCTTGTCCCCAGTCTCATGCTCTGTTGGTAGCAGCTGCCAAGGCCCAGACTATTTTCTTATGTCAAGTCTCAAGTGGTCTCGGTTTCCTCCATGAGAAGCCTTTTCACCTCTGGGCATCCAGGTCAACTGAGGGTCTCTCCAAGCTGATATCTGGGGCTAAGACAGTTTCATTACTCACTCAAGGGAGGCCAAGGGAAAGGGATCCTCAGGAGGCAGCTTAGAGCAAGGCCCTAAACTTGAATCTGTTTAAAATTAGTGAGAGGGATCCACCCCCCCAGCCTTGGCTCTGCCACAGGCAGAAACGAGGCGTGGGTGAGCCTCATTTTGCCCAAATTAACCAGTGACAAAATGAAAGGATTTCTCTGCTGGGTTATGCTGAGGCACTTCATTCCTCCTGTGCAAAATCTAGTCTGGGCTCTCAGCAGACAACCCTCAGTTCTTGGGTGCTTCTCCCCAGTCATACAGCTGGTTTTGACTCTCCCCTCTCTAGCACAAGTCTTTGGAGGACTCCTGCCTCCCCTCTCTTGTGTAGGGGGGGTTCCTGCTATGATTATTTTAGCAAGATACCCAGGGAGGGACTAGCATAGGGTGGCAGACGTGGGGTGCCTGGCCATGTCTGTGGGAGCAGAAACATTCCCTCATGGACGTATTCCTTTTAATAAGCCAAGGTGATAGTGCCCTTAAGCAGTGGCCAAATCCCAGTCGGAGCATGAACAGGGCTGTGGAATGGAGCTGTGCTCGAAGGATGGGGGGGATGTCTGGCTGCCCCGGCAGCCACTTCCCCTGTCAGCCGCTTCTGATGTGCCTTGCTTTGCTGTTCCCAGGACACCTGGATATTCCCAAACATCCTGTTGTTTTATCCTGAAGCAGCCCGAGCCATCCTGGAGTACCGGATTCGCACACTGGGAGGAGCTTTACGCAACGCACGGGAGCAAGGCTACAAGGTGGGCAGAGCCGGGTCTACCCGGGCTGCAAGGTGGGCAGAGCCGGGTCTACCCGGGCTACGAGGTGGGCAGAGCCGGGTCTACCCGGGCTGCAAGGTGGGCAGAGCCGGGTCTACCTGGGCTACGAGGTGGGCAGAGCCGGGTCTACCCGGGCTGCAAGGTGGCCCGGGTTGTGGTCAGTCCAGCCAGCGCCACCCACACGGACACTCGGGCTTTGCTGTTCCTCTGTGGTTGTCACCAGGGGCTGGCGTTGCCTCACCGGCCCCGTGGGCATTTCCTCCTGCCAGGGTGCCAAGTTTCCCTGGGAGAGCGCAGCCACGGGCCGGGAAGTCTGCCCGGAGGAGATTTATGGAGCTCAGGAAATTCACATCACCGGGGATGTTTTGATGGCCTTTGAGCAGTATTATCACACCACACAGGTAAAGGGAGCGGGTGACATGTGGCTGGCACAGGCAAGGGGCCAGCGCAGTGGCGAGGCCTGCAGGGCATCTGGTGATGGACACTGTCCCTTCCCAGAGAAGCTCTGCTGCTGTCTGCTCCACTCAGAGCTGCCAGTAACACGACAGATCTCCTTCTTCAGCCTTGGCTCTTCTGTCCTTGCTCCTCATGGATGGCTCAGCATCCTGTTGCCTTAATCCAGGCCAGTTTTTCTGTCCTTTTCTCCTCCTATGTCTCTTTCGTTAGAGCTCTTGTCATCTCACTGAACTTGGACCAGGTAGAGTCTCTTTCTCATGTTCCCCTCTCTCTGCTTCTCTCTGGTGTGGGTCCTTCCAGGACCAGAAGCTGTTCAGGGAGGATGGAGGCTGGGAGCTCGTTGGTGCCGTGGCTCAGTACTGGTGCAGCAGGATGGTGTGGGGCGAGGAGGAGCAATGCTACCACATCAAAGGTACTTCTGCAGCTGCCAGCCCTGATTGTGGGGAAAGACCTTGCAAACAGAAGCTCCAAGCCCCTCTAGCCACACCTGAGTACATGGGCACTTGAGACTCCTGCCCTTTCGGGTATCTCCTGGAAGATATTCATGGCCATGTAAACACAGGGCGTGGATGCCAAGATCTTTTTCTTTTTCCTCAGCAAGTTCAGTGCATTCCAAGCTCCCCAAAGTGTCTTTTCCCTCCCTTGGCCGCAGTGCTGCATTCTTCCAGGCCAGAAGTTTGTGTGATAGTTGGCATCTTCTCTTCTCAGTGCCACAGTAGCAGTTGTTTCTCTCTCAGTCCCTTGACTCTCAAGGGACAGCTCTAAATGTCGCCTCCTTTGGCAGCCCAAGCTGACGCCACAAGAGCAGATGCCATTTCAGGTCTGCTCTAGTGACTGGTGACATTTAAGGAAAATACAGGGTGCTACCTTCAGGAGGCTTTAGAGGCAAAGCACTCTGCAGCACTGACACTATATATATATGTGTGTGTATATGTGTGTATATTATGCTGTTTAAGCACCACTCACTACTGGTAGATGCTGCTTGTGTTTCCCCCTGAACAAGGGCTTTGAAGAAAGCTCGAAGTGAAGCAGAGGTATGTATGGGAGAAGGGTCTGGGGCACCAGGTAAGAGCCTGTAGGGTAGGTAAGGTAGGGTAGGTAGGGTAGAGTAGGTAAGAGCCAAGGGGTCTGTGCATAATTGGGATGATTAAGCTAAAAATGTCCCTGGGGTTGCCTCAGGTGGCTCTTGGTCCACAGATGCTTTGCAGAGAGCCCAGTATCCCCCAAAGAATCTTCTATTTAAATGGCTATTTTCCCTTTTCTCTTGGGGAAATGGGCATGTGTCTTCCTGGGGATAAGCTGTACATGCTGAGTAAAGAAAAAAGGAGCTGGGCTTGTCAGTAGGGAAAAATACCCAGTTGGGAGCTTGAAGATCCCCTGGCCTGTGGGCCCCTGAAGCGAGGGAGGTGCCGTCGGGCTGAGAAGGTGCCTGCTGCCCAGAYTGTGTCAAACAGAGCTTTAAAGCAGCCCGTTTCTCCTTCCCGGCCACCACCACGTACCCTCTCTGCTCTGAGGCCTCCGTGGTATCCTGCCTGGTGATGCATGTGGTCATGAAGGTGCCAAGCCTGCGCTGTGCTGCCGTGCACAGCGTCTCCTCCCTCTTCCTTCAGGTGTCATGCCCCCAGATGAGTATCACCACCGCGTTGATAACTCTGTTTACACCAACGCCGTGGCCCGGAGGAGGTAACCTGCATGCTCTGTCGACGCTCTGGACCATCTCTCTTTTCTGCTTAGCAGTCTGGCAGGGGGAGGAGATGGCGAGGCTCCGATGTGCAGTACAACTTTCTCCTCTTTGTGCGTCTCTCTCTTGGAGCTGATCCCCTCTGGCTTCCTTTACGGTCAGTGGAGAAGCTGCTTCTTCCATGGGGACTCATCTGCCCTGTCCCATTTCTCAACACTACTGAGAGGAAAAATGCAAGAGCATTCCTCTCAGTGTTGGGTGGGAAATCTAAACAATTAGCCAGATGAAGACATCTGAAGTTACGGGCACTCTGTCCCATCTGCAATGCTGACAACAGCTTGTGCAGGTTTTATGCTTTGACCCAGATTCTTTTTAAAGGAACTGTTTCTTTGCAAGGAACACAGCACAGTTCTTTCTGTATATTCCTTTCCTTACTTTCCACTCTCGGGGATGCCACAGGCACCCATTCCTGGTATAACTGGTTGTTACTGGGTTCCTCTCAGCTTGTGTTTTGCAGCGGATCTTGCGCGGGACTTCTTGCTCCCTGTGCCGGAGGAGTGGGTGGAGTGTGCCGAGAAGGTGAAGGTGCCGTTTGATGCAGAGAGGAAATATCACCCCGAGTACGACGGGTACAGCCCAGGTGAGCGGAGAGGCAGCAGAGGAGCTGCGGCTTCATCACCRGCCTTGCTCAAGTCTCTCTCAAGTGGGGATTCTGACTAGTCCAAAGGTGGGAATGAGGGAGAAATGGTGAGCCGACAGAGGGGATTCCGGTGCTGCTGCTTGAGCCCACGGGGTGTTAAATCGCTTAAATTGTGTTCCCTTTCCAAAGAACCTGCTGTGGAAGTGCTTTCTGCTACATTATGAGCCATTTCTCTTTACTGGGCTCATAAAATTAGGAAGATTAGGTACAAAGAGGAAAAAAGGAGGCCTGTAGCACTTGGGGTACTGGCCTGCGGGTGAAACAGTTGTTATGAACACATTTCTGATCATTAAGGCTATTTTTGAAGGCCAGTTTCTGCTCTGTCTCTAAAACAGTGGCCCTGTGAAAAGTRCAGGGGCTGGTTCAGGTGGAAGTCCTGCTGCCTGGGCCCTCTTTGCAGTTCTGTCACCATTCCCCTGTTGACGTGGCATCATGTTTTCTTACATTTGTCGTTCTCTGTAAGTCAGATTTGTTCCCCTTATCAGTAAATGGACAATGAATCTGCTAGTTACCTCCAGCCGGCATATACGGTCCTGCTGATGAGGGCTCCTTTCCCCAGGCGAGCCTGTGAAACAAGCTGATGTTGTCTTGCTTGGATTCCCTCTGATGTACCCCATGAGTCCCGAAGTCCGCAGAAACGACCTGGAGATGTATGAAGCTGTCACTGTGCTGGATGGACCAGCCATGACCTGGGTGAGGCAAAGCCTGGGCTGGCAAGGTGGSAGTTTCCATCTGAGCTGCATCCTGCAGCAGCAGGTGAAAGGATGGTTTTCTCCCCTGCAGAGTATGTTTGCTGTGGGCTGGCTGGAGCTAAAGGAAGTGCAGAGAGCACAGAGTCACCTGAACAAATGTTTCAGCAACGTCACGGAGCCCTTCAAGGTTAGCTGTGTGGAGCGTGGCTCCTGCTTCACTGTCACAAATGCTTTCGGCCTCTCCRTGTGATGGGGTCTATAGCTCTGGAAGTCACTTCTAACCTCARCTGTTCTATGACCTATTTGGAGACAGGCCAGAAGGAAACATCATTTAGGCTGGAGCCTCTGATGACTGCACTTGTGGTCTCTAGGTTATTGTTATATCAAGATAGGAGGCTCCAGGCTGTGTCTCCTCTCTGCGCTCTTCCAATGGGCTGTGAGGAGACACCTCCTTCCTACCGGGGAATTACAAAGCCACGGGATCAATACCATGCCCACTTCAGGCTTCCTCTTGTCTCGCAGGTGGGTGAAGTTGGGACCTGGAGACATATCAGAGCCTAGCACCACATGCTGCAGCGCAGTACGATCTTTGCAACACCCTAAATGTGTGACAGTAATGRCATTAACCATATCCAAACCCACATAACTATGCGAAGAGCTCCAGCACAACTGCTAAGGCATTTCTTTTTCTTGCTGGAGCAGATCTGGGTGGAAAACGCCGATGGATCAGGAGCTGTGAACTTCCTGACGGGGATGGGTGGATTCTTGCAAGCTGTCCTCTTTGGCTACACGGGGTTCAGGTGAGACCTGTGTTGGTGTCTTGTTTGCTTCCCAAGCAACTGAAAGTCTCTGGAAACCATATCATTCAATGGGAGCAATATGCTGTTACTGGTGGAAAAGAAAGCAGCTTGGAGCACGTAGCAGCTTCCAGAAAATGCCCTTCAGGAATTCCTAGCAGGTGAGGGACATGCAGGAACTGTAACAGTCCTGAGGAAATGGTGGCTACTGGAGCAATTGTTGGCTAGTGAAGAACAGAGCAGAGTTCTCAGAAACAGTGAGCTTTGCTCCATTTCTCCTCCAGCCACATTAGTGTTTTAAAGCCCTTGGCTTCAAAAGGAGCCAGAGTTAGGCCAGCACAGACCTGCTGCTTACTCAGAAAGGCCATTACGTTGTAATCCCCTTTTGCAAATAGCAGTCCTCCCCCTCTGCAGCTGCCCTCGCGCTGCTCCGCAGTAGGCTGTGCTTTCTGTTTCAAAGAGTGGAAAGAGATGCAGAAGAGGGACTGGGGCACATAGTGAGGGAGCTGCAGCTTGGTGAAGGTAAGAGTCGTTCTCCAAGGCTCGGTGCTGTGGTCTAGCACTCTCCCCCCTAACTCAGGTGTCACACAGACAAACTCCCTTCTGTCCGTGTTGCTTGTGCACGGTGTTACCAGGCAGTGGCAGATAGCACAGGTTTTGTGACGCTGCTAAGACAGGAAGAAACCCGAAGGTATTTGATCTTCACAAASAGGCTTTCTCGAGGCAGGATGTAGGGTGGAACATAAAGAAAAGAGGAAGGTGTTTGCATCAAGGTCTGGTTGTATCTGAGAGGCAATAATGGCAGTCAGCTGCTTTCCGTCAAAGCACTTGGTTCGAGTCGGTGGGCAGGAGGTTGCCTGGAGCTCGGTTTTAGCCTGAGACTTGGATCTAGCAAGAGCTGCAGAATGAAGCCAACCGAATCAAAGAGCAGATACTGTTCTGGATCTCGCCCGAAGATGCTGGAGGGAGCACCTCGTAAGAACGACCGCAGCACAGTCACATACCCCTTCCCKAGGGGTATAAAAGACAGAGTCTTTTTGCATTGCTGAGCTGAGCAGGGATTGGGAACAACATCTGGCTGGACTGTGAGTATCCCTCCCCTTTCCTTAACCTGGGGCTCTGGGATAAGGCAGCTCCCTACAAGGTGGAGAGGCTCCTGCACCCCRTAGTGTGGAAACGCTAAAACTTTTTACTGGGACAAGCAGTGTATTTCRTTAATTGCACTAATTGCAATTTACTAATTGATAAGACTGTCCCTTACAATAATCATGCCAATTAATGTTGTGATCACAAAGATCTTGTGCCGGTGAAAAAAAATCAACCAACTCAAGCCTGTTGGTTGTTGCCCCTCTGGATTATTTTATTGTCCCCTTTAATGAGGTAGCACGACAAGCTCCCAGCTTCACCTGTGAGAAATGCAACACAGGCTGGTRTAAAACCTTCTTTAGTGCCTTAGGCAAGATCTGCTGGATAGGCTTATGTGACCCTGCAGGTCTTCAGGCTTCTGCTGGAACCTCTAGAGCATTTAAATATCTCCAAAAACACATTAAGTCGTTCATATAATTTCAGAGCCTTGTCTCGTARCCAACCAACCTGGTGGTTTCAGCCCTGAAGCAGGAGTCCCTTGCGCGTATTCTTAGCGCTTAATTGGGGGTGGGTCAGGCTGACAAGCCTTGTGATTTGTCACAAAGCCTTCCAGCACTAACTATATGTGTTTTTACCGTGTGTGTGTGGTCAGCATTTGCTGAGAGCCCCACCAGGCTCTTGGTGGAGCTGGGTGTGAGCCRCCACATTCCCCCACTGGAAACCTTAATCTCGGCTTTGGAACGGGAGGGTTCCTCAGGGCTCMTGGTGCATCCCGTGCCTCTGTGGAGAGGAGGAGCTGCAGGGTCCTCCCCTGGGCTGCACAGCAGGCTGGGCGCTGTGACCACACGTCACAACTGCTGTGCGGGACGTGGCCACCATCATCATCCTCTTGCTCCTCCTGCCTGGATCCAAAAGGCAAAACAGGCAAAGGATGCTGTTTGAATCCTGCCTCCAGCTCCTTATCTYGAGCAGTCGCCTTGGTTTTTATGCTTTTAAGAAAGAGAGCATGTGGGCCTCGAGGATCGCGCCGAGTAGGATGCCCTGGGATAGGCGGGAGTGGGAGCTGGTGTGGGTTGGTGAAAGGTGCTTCGTTGTCACAGCCTAGAGGGARGTGGAAGCCCAGCTCTGTGCGTGTCTGACACAGCACATTGCTGAAGCTGAAAGGGGTGCTCTCAGTTCAATTTAGTAGTGCTGCTTGGGATGTCTCCATTGGGAGAGAGGTGAGGAACCCCCAGTATTTCCCCACCGGGGCCATGCAGCTTTCAGAACAGGGCTAAGGGGTAACACGCACTTGCTGTTGGGTTTCCTTTTGCCTGGAGCTGAGCTCACATCCTAAAAATCCAGGCTGCAACATCACAGTGCTCTCCTCAGCTATTAAAATCACCGGAGTTTAGTTCCAGTACTGGCCCAGAGCCCGAGCCCACCGTTTCATCCTAATGGATTTTGGTGACAATTCCACCTCTGCTTCCCACTTATTTTTCCTGCTGCCTCTTCTCCTCCCTCTCCCAGAGTGGGGAGGTTTTGCCAGCAAAACTGCTGCTATGCTCTAGAGCGGGAAATTTAAAAAAAAAAAAAAAAAAAAGCTTTTTTGTTGCTTTGTTTTTAAATTTGTTTTAAATTAAGTCTAATGATGCTAAAGGGCTGTGTCAAAATAATTGAGGTGGGGCAGGGACAGAAACACCTCAAGGTTTGGGTTGGTGATGCCGGAGCCTGAGCAGCTCTTCCCCAGGGGCTTCATTGGTGTGGTCTGGGTTTGCCAAGAGGTCCTTGGGATACACCGAGGACTTTCTTACCGAGCTAGGGAAGGACTAAGAGGACCGGACTCTGGGGTACAGGGGGCTGTGCTGGCTTGGGAAATGACTTTCATTTGTGGCCCTGATCATTCCCACCGCTGACCTGCTCCTGCCTTTGCAGGATTACAAAGAGAGGCCTTCGCTTCGACCCCGTGTGTCCTAACGACATCAGTAAGCTGAAAGTCACTGGAGTCTCCCACCTTGGCAACAAACTGAAGTTCACCATCACCAGGGACAGGATGAAGATCAAGGTGACTAAGTCTCCCCTTGGGCCCCCCGCGTCTCTCCTGGAGGCCGTGCTGGAGGCATCGGGACAGCGGCTTCCTTTATATGAAGGTAAAGGGTCTCCTGGGCCTGATAAGCAATCATCAGGCGGCATTTCCTTATCTCTGGCTGTTCATGAAGTCCTCGCTTGGGCCAGATACTTAAGGTATTACAGAGAGGAGCTCGGGAGAGGCCAGTCCCACATTTCAACGTGCTTTGGGTTCTGTTGCAGGGCAGAGCGTCTCCTTCTGCACCTCAGCTGGCTGGATTCAGAGGTCGTCTCCTGAGGCATTTTGAACCCCAGCGGATTTGGGGTTTATGCAACCGGTCCCAGTGTCCCCCGAGAATTTCTCCAAGGAGAAATTCTCCAAGAATTTCTCCGAGTTGGCTGTTGGAAAGCTGCTTAGCAGCTAATGGACTTCCTGCACAGCCTCGCCACGCCATCCGTGTGAACATCACACGGGATCCAACTGCCTTGTTTGCATTTGGTCCTCTGCTGTTTTCCAAACATCCGGGAGTGGTTTATTAATTCTTTAAACATCTTCATTCGCAAGGRTGTCTCTGGCTGGGTGAGCCTGTGTTTGATCCAGCGCACTAGCTCCTACCTTCTCCATCCACGTGCCGACTTTGTCCTTTCCTCCTTGCTTACGTAGCTGAGGTTGTTGCAGGGCCAATAAGAGCAGGCCTAAACCTGACCATCACTTTGAGTCACCAAACAACCCAGAATCTGCATTAACCTGAGTTCCCAGAGGGCCTGTCCCGTGCCCTTTTCCATCAGGGACATGGCTGAGTGATGTGCACCTTCCACGGCACCTGCCCAGGTGTTTTGAAGGGGTTGAAAGCATCTTACCCCAGTTGTGGCTGGCGTAGCCCGCCTTTCCTTTCAGGTTACTCTGATTTTAGCACGCAGATCCAACAATTTAATCTGCATTACAATCTCTCTCTCGAAGCAGTTTGAGACTTCAGGCCCGATGTAACTTGAAGTGTGAAATGGGGAAGGCCCAGGCATCAGCTGCTCTTCGTGTCACGTCAGATGAGCACCAGCTTGTTCCTCCAGGTCCCCAGCACGAGCGGGACGGGAGGAGGTGTCGTGCGGGTGCTTAAAGGCGTTTTGGGTGTCCTGGAAAAGCGGGAATGCTGAGGTGGGTGCAGAGGAGCTCGCCGCCTGTGCTGCAGACGTAACGTGCCCTTTCCCGGTGCCGAGCTTCCCAGGCTGTGCTGGGAAGGTGGAAGCCCCGGGCAGGCAGATGCTGTGTGCACAGACGTCCTGCTGGGACCTGCAGCAGTTCCTGCAGCTGCGTCCTCGTCCTCGAGCGCCGTTTTGGTGTCTCCTCTCCCTGCTCCAGCCGCCCACCTGCGACATGTGTTTTGCACAGCCCACATGTGTCCAGCAAGGGCGCTTCAAAGCCCCTTTGCATTTTTCACTCTCCTCTGAACAAACCTCAGCATTCCCGGTTGAATCCCCAGGAGTTTATAAAAAGCCCCGTGGCCTCCCGGCGCTGCGGGCGGCATGTGGGAATGCCTAGGGAGGGAGCGGAGAAGGTCCCTGCCTTGTAATTACGCCGGCTCCGCATCAGCCCCTGCCCAAAACTGCTCAGCCACTAACTACCACTGGCTCTCAGGAGCAGGACAGGACCCAAACACCCCTCCTTCCCATCCCTCCTCCCTTGGGAACRGGCCTCGGGCTGCACCGGGGTCTTGATGGGAGCACTGGGAGCAAACCCACGTGCACTGGGCACAGGCGGGGTCTCCAACATGAGCCGGGTTTAGCCGGCAGGGGCCCGGAGCAGCCTGCTCGGTYGGGATGAAGGGAGGGCAGGAGCCCTTGTGGGGCCCTGGCAGCCGCTGGGAGGACGCCCAGAGGCAGTAATGACTCCCAGATGGAGCAGTTATTCCCTCTCTTTCCGCAGTTCCTTGGGCAGGAGCTTTGGGGGCCTGGGCCAAGCGCAGCACCTGGCTCGCRGCCAGGAGCTGGGAACGGGACAGGGGAGCGCTGTCCTTGTGTCCGGCCCTGCGTCCGGCAGGATTTCGGAGACCCCCCCCACCTCTCCTCACCTTCCTGGAGGGGCTTCCAATGGGAATTGCAGGGTGTCTCCCGAGAGCTCAAAGTATCCCTGCTTCTCCCCAAGGGAGACTCTTAACAGGGGAGGAGGAAGGAGGAACCCACCGTGCTGGGGCCAGAGGCTTCCTGCTTTCCTACAATGCATTTATAGATGCCTTCTATATAGTATATAATATATATGTCCTATATACTAGGTCCCTTCGGAGCTCCTTTTTACCCAGTGGGTGCCGCTTGCTTCCTTGGATGCAGGYGGGAGCTCGCGCTCTCCGTGAGTGTTTGAGACCGAGCGTCCCTGAAAGTGCCCTGGGTCGCTAGCTCTGGCATGGGGCAGAGCGGGAGGCGAACGCGCCGCGCAGCCCCACGGCGCGCCCCACACACGGGCACACGCGGGCCCCTCGCGGCGCCCCAAATGCTTTAATGATCTGAACGGTCACCGCCGAGGCCGCCTGCGCGACAGTATGAAGTGGTAAAGGAAAAYGCACACACAAAACAGGGTCAGTGGGGTGAGTCCCATGGGAAGCAGGGCGACGAGCCGGCGYGAAGCCCCTCGGCGCTGCGGGTGCCGGGGCAGGGCAGAGGCCGGCGGGGTCGGCACAGCACGTGGGGGCTCGGGTGCTCCCTGCAGCCCCCCGTGGCTGTCTGAGCGCACGGGCGCCGGTGCAGCCCGTCCTGGGCGCTCGGGGGGCCACGTGTGGGGCCGGGGCGGCCCTGTGGGCTCGGGGGCCGCGCGTCGCCCAGGGGAGTTTCCTGCCCTCCTTCCGGCCGCCGGTCACTTGTTGTCGTCGTCGTCGTCGTCGATGCTGAGCTGGTAGCTGAAGAAGTCGATGGAGTCCTGGGCGAGCTTGGAGAGGTGCAGGGCGCCCGTGACGACGAGGGCCACGAGCAGCAGCGGCAGGACCAGGCTCCCCGCCGTGGCCAGCGCGTTGCAGCAGCGGGCCCTGGAGCTGCAGCGCCGCGCGCCTTCCACGTCCCCGGCCGCCCTGCGGTCCCGCGCCTGCAACGGGGGACGCGGCGTGAGTGGGGCACCCACCGCCCTCCTGCCCCTCTCCTGGCCTCCCCGCTCGCCCCATAGCTCCAGCGCGGCAGCTCCCGCTCCTTCAACCCAGCCCCCGTGGCCATGCCGAGATCCCCAGCGCCCAGAGCAGGACGGAGGCTCCAGACCTCCCTTTCCGCAGGCTCTCTGCTCCTCTCAAGTCTGACTGGACCAATTCCAGGTCCCATTGGGGCGGCTCTTGCAGCTTCTTTGATAAGTGGTGGGAAAGGATGGAGGGGGGACCCTGGCGGGGAATGTTGGCACCTTCAAAGGGCAGGGGGACGAGGTCCTCCCAAAGGTGTTGGGCTCTTTCTAGTGCCTCTACCCCAGCCCTACCGGGAATCTGKGTTCCCTATTTCCATATCTCTAGGGAATCCTCATGTCACGCAGTGCCAGCAATGCGGAGCAGGCTCTTGGGAAGGCTGGGCGAGCCCAAAGGATCTCCGCTTGCCGCTCATGTCCTGTGTGTCTCTGTCCCGCGAGGAGCCTACGTCCTTACCTTGACAGAGAAGGCGAGCGCCACGAGTCCGAGGCAGCAGAAGTTCATGTAGATGGTGTTGAAGAGGGACCAGACGAGGTGGTCGCGGGGCGCCGCGGAGGCGCCCACGCCGATGACGGTGGGAGGAGGGTCCCGCTTGCGGGATGCCGCGGGTGCGGGGTCGTCGCGCGGGTAGGACGTGTCCATGGCGCCAGCTCCCGCGCGTGTGACGGGCAGCAGGGCACGGCGGCCCCTTTATAGGGGCCCTGCCTCCGGCGAGGCTCGGYCTCTCTATATATAAATTGGGGAAATTACAGGCCTCCCGGAGCTGTGGTTGTCGGGAGCGCTTGGCTGGGAGCTGGGAGAAGCAGCGCGGGTCTGCAGGGCTCCTGGCAGYGCACGGGCACTGCCTTTTATACACAGCCTTCCGAGCACGAGTGCCGTCCCCGAGGGCTCCGACTGCGCCGTGCCGGGGCTGGCCACAGCGACAGCTCCAAGGAGCCGACGGGAGGGATCCATGGGAATGCTGCAGGCAAGCGAGCCCTGGCCAAGAGCGGCCCCGCCGCTCACTCGCTGGGACCTCGCGTTTGCCCAAGTGGAGAAGTGGCCCCGGGTCCTTCATAGGGGCCACGGCGGCACCAAACGGGACCACTGTCCCGAGGGGAGATGAGGGAGGATGGGGTTGAGGCTGGGGGGGATGCGGCTGGTTTGGAGGGCCCAGATCGGGGGTGCAGGGCGGGCGAAGACGCAGCATCGCTTGGGCGCCTCTGCGGTGCTCACCCGCCAGAGGCACTGCTTTTTGGGTGGAAAAAAAGAAAAAAAGGGGTAAAAACCAAAAGCACGAACCCTGCAACCTCTGCGTGCTCCGGTGGCCGCCGCTCGTGAGAAAGAGGAAGCAGGAGAGGGGCGAGCAGGGGGGCSAAGCCGCCTCAGGATCCCTCCTCCCAACGCGGCCGGCGGCCCCCAGGCTCGGCGTGGGGCTGTGGAGAAAGGACGAGGCGTGAGGAAAACGGGGTGGAAGCTTTATTGGAGCCGCCGGGAATGGCGGGAATCGCCACGGGGCTGCAGGCGGCGGAGCGCGGGCACTAGTAGCGCGTGGTGAGGACGCTGGCGACGACGGCCGTGATGATGACGACGAGGACGAGGACGAGCACCACGGCYGCGATGTTGAGGCCCTTGGCGGTGGAGCCGTAGCTGAGGGCGCCGCTGTGGTCGCCGAGCATCCTGCGGTCCCTGGACTGCAGCATGGGGGGCGAGACGCGAGGAGGGGTCAGCGGCGGGACGCGGGGCTCCCGGGGCCCCTCCGGCGGCCGCGGCGGCACCCACCTTGATGGAGAAGATGACGGCCATGAGGCCGAGGCAGCAGCAGTTGAAGTAGAGAAGGCTGCTGAGGGACCAGGCGAGGTAGTCGTGGGGCGGCGGGTCGCCCGGCRGCATCTGCACCGCGGCGGCGCCCGGTGGCATCTGCACCGCAGCGCCCGGCGGCATCTGCACCGTGGCACCCGGCGGCATCTGCACCGCGGCGCCCAGTGGCACCAGCTCCACGTCCGGGCAGTCGGGGAGCTGCGCGTAGGGCTTGTGGCCGCTCTCCATAGCGCCGGGGCGGCAGCGAGAGCGGCAGCGCGAGCGGCAGGGCGAGGGGCAGGTGAGGAGCGGGAGGGCTGAGCGCATCCTGCCCTTCACCCGGGGTTTCGTTTCCTGGCGGGTGCCGCCCCGTGTGGGGCKCTCTGCCCTATATGGGGAGCTCCGTGTGGGGCTGTGCTCCGCGTGGGTCTTGGCTCCGTGTAGGCAGCTCCGCGCGGATCTTGGCTCTGTGCGGAGCTCCGGCAAGGGCTCTGCAGCAGCGGCACGGGCGCYGGGCGCAGCCGTGGGGCGCCGGGCGCAGCCGTGGGGCACTGCTGTGGGGCGCGGCCCACGGGGCTGCGCGGAGCCGCCCGTCCCGGAGCCGCTCGTCCCGGGAATCCACCAGTCCCGGAGCCGCTGTCCATCCCGGAGCCCCGAGCGCGGCGGAGCTGCCGGCAGGTGGAGCCGGCAGCCGCCAGCCACGGTGTCTGGATCCCCCCTGGGATCCCTGCGTCGGGGATCCGGGATCCGCAGGATGCCTGTGCTGGGAGGATACCGGGATCCACAAGATCCTGTCCTGGGTGGACACCAGGATCCACAGGATCCCTGCGCCATGGGATGTCAGGATACTGTGCTGGGGGAAAACAGGATTTCCTGTGATCCTTGCACTGCAGGGTACTGGGATCCACAGGATCCCTGTGCTGTGGGAAGCCAGGATCCACAGGATCCCTGCTCTGGGGATTCAGGATCCACAGGATCCCTGTGCTGCAGAACACTGTGATCCATAGGATCCCTGTGCTGGGGGCACCAGGATCCATAGGATCCCTGCGCTGGGAGGATACCAGGATGCACAGGACCCCTGTGCTTCAGGACACCAGGATCCACAGGATCTCTACACTGCGCTTTACCAGGATCCACAGGACCTCTGCACTGGTGGGATACCAGGATCCACAGGATCCCTGTGCTGGGGGACACCAAGAACCATAGGATCCCTGTGCTGGGGGGATACCAG